CTCCTGCTCCTGCTCCTGCTCCTGCTCCTGCGTTGGAGGAAGGAGAAGGTAGATTCAGGTTGCTTTCACATTCGTCTTGTGAGCTCACTGGGTAGTGATCTTTTCCTGCTTCCGTAAAGGGAAAGTGGCTGCTCTTCAGGCAGGGAGTCTGTAAAATGGGTGTATCAGCATTCTGCCTCCCATAAGACTGAAGACTATCACTTTGAATTTGGAAGGGTGAATATCGGCAGTCCTCAGAGGCTGATTCCAGTCAGCTCCGTTAGGCTGGGCGTTTGCATGTGTGAAGGTTGACTCTGCTGCTTACTAATTGACTTGGCTTTCACTTTTATTGATTTTCTGATAAAGTTTTTAAGTAATGTTGTAATCCATCCAGAAGTCAATGAGATGAGGCAGCTTGGAAGTATTTCTAAGAATAATTTTCTCCTCCGGTGTGGCTGTCTTTTTATTAGTGATTTTAATGTGTTGTTCTGGTTTTAAACCTTGTAAGCTGCCCAGATTTGTTGGTGTCGTAGAAATGTACAGTGTAAATAAATAAAAACCTAGTTATGCTAAGAAGTCCCCGGAGCTCCTGCTTGGGCCAGGTTAGAACGCCATGGTTCTACTTCTATGTTGCCCCCCTTGCCCTTCCTGGAAGCGGGAGGGAGAGGAGGCAGCAGGGGCTCTGGGGAAGCTGGATCCGTGTTTCAGAGGCAGGCGAGCTTTGTCAGCAGCATCTTTCTAAGCTGAGCATTGTGGTTGAGTTACCTGCGTGGCTCAGGTAGTTTCCACCTGGCCCTTTCCTCCTCTGGCGATGCAAGGTGGAGCTTGGCCAGGCGGGTGAGGCCTGCTCCTCCTTGCAGCTGTGCAGGGTTGGGCCTGCACAGCGTGTGTGTGTGCGTGTGCGTGTGCGCTCGCGCGCACTGTTTGAACTCTGATGGTCGCTGTTTGGTTTCCTGCTCGGCTGCCTAGCGCAGTTCAGCGTGAGCGTGACGAGGCGGTGGCCGTCCCTGACGTTGTGTCAACAGCCTCTGTGAATCATTTACCTTTGCCTCCACTGGAGCTGCTCTGGAGGCCTGATTTTTCAGCCCTGCTTCAAAAAGGGTTGTGGCTCCAAGTTGACCTTGCCTCTTAGCACAAAACAAGCAGGGATCCAAGCTTGTTTTTCCGCACCCGGTCTGGCCGCTCCCTCCATGATATCGGTGCTTGTTTCTTGATCTGGGTAGCTTTCACGGCTCAAGTACTGCTTGAAAGGCAGCAGCAACAGAGCCAAGCCACGGTGGTCCTTTGCACCACCAGGGAGTCAGCTCAACTCCAGCCCCAGCCTCTTCGGCGCTCTTAGTGCATCACATTAGGATCATTTTATTCATACAATATAAATTTTTATTTTCGGGAATTCTCGGTACCAGCGTCTTTAACACGTTTCTTGAAAACATTTTATGTGTGAGCTGTGCTAGGTATGAAGAAGAGAGTGTTGCAAGAATGGGAGAAATAGTTTAGAAAAACCTTCAGATGGCTGAGTTGGTGACAAATGTGAAATGAAGAATCTACAGCAAACAGAAGCTGAGACTAAGTGGAATATTTTAATGTTCCATGTTATTAGTATTATGCTTCGTGTGCCCTTTTGAGGAGACCCTGGACTGGTTTTCACACGGCCAGACTTTGAAAGTACAACTGTCAAACAAGGGCAAGTTCCTGAAACTGGCTGCTAAGTGCGTCACCTTCTCAAAACGCTTAGAATTTTGCTTATTGCCCGGCCTAATAATAAGGATGCATGCAAATTGGCCGTCCCCCAACTTGTTGTACTGCCATTCCCATCATGCCTCAGCCAGACTGGCCAAGTTGGCTGGGGCTAATGGAAGCTGTAGTACCAGTCTGTGGCATGATGCCCTAGACCCGTGTCTTTGCGAAAGCAAAAGGGACCCAGCTCATCCTCCAGACGAGTGAACTTGACTCAGGAGCTCGGAGAGAACTTGAGATCTGCCCACAGGTTACCTCTGGTCTTGCCAAGCAGAGTCAGCGCGTTGGTCCCTACGGCAAACACGGCAGGAGGGAACGGCAGGCTGGTTTTCCACCTCAGTGATGGAGGTGGGCAGAGGATACGAAAGCTGGAAAGGTCACAAAAGGAAAACACTCCAGAGTTTCTACTCTTCGTGGGGCTGAGGGAATCCCTTGAGAGAAAAGCAAACACTGTTTTATTGTAATACTCTCTCAGTTTTAA